TTTTTTGTTAATAACTTTGTTATGTTCTCTGTTTTATTTTTCTAAACACTTGATTCTCTAGTAGGTGATTGATCTAGGCGAGGAATATGAGATCGGTGGAGTTATTCTAGAAGCTTTAGCTATGATTCTAGCAAGCGATCCCTGAATCTTTCTAACTAAAGTTTTTGAGGGTGATTACAAATTGATTTGACAGATATTTCTGGTATAAAATCCCTCGATGCTAAATGTGCATTCTCTTTCTTGTCTTTTCAGTTAAATTTTATTTGTGTTTTTACAGGAAGAATTTCAATTTGTCCTCTTTGATAAGTTTCCTTTCCCCCTTTTTTACAATCTAGAGAGATGAAAACTATGATGTGAAAAATATATAGAGGAGTGAGGTGAGTTCTTGTCCAAATATGAAATGTCCAATATAAAAAGAAGAGAAGATAACTTGAACCTGTGTCCTTCGATTCTATGAAATCGTAAATCATCGTACATTGAAGAACTTATTATGACAGCTAACCAAATATGGATATATCATTTCTGTGTGTGCTAATGGAGTTTAAAATCTTATTTCCAATATGAAAAACTTAATTATGACATTCCACTCTGTGCTCATAACCTAATGCTGCTCCATTCCATAGACTTGTCAATACAATTCTTCATATTTGGGAGGGTGGAGGAATTGTAGAGTGGTTCATCATGTTGGCATTAATTATACCATGTTTTGCAACTTCGTGATTAAGGTTTAAGGCAATATTGTTTTATTGATGAGAACCAATGGAACAACTTAATGCTCTAACAACAACTAACAATGGATTTTTTTTTTTTTTTTTAATGTTGGTCGTGGTTTCATTTAGAGCTGTCAATAGGGTAAGCCTGGCCCTAAAAGGCCGGCCCTTGAAGGGCCAAGGCCTAAACGGGCTAGCCTTAATAAGCCCTATTACATTTAGGGTTCTCTTTTATAAGACCTGGGCTAAAGGGCCGGCCCTCAGCCCTCAGGGCTAAAGGGCCGGCCCTCAGAGCCTCGTCCTATTTTTTTAAAATTATTTTTTAATTAAAAATTATAAAATATATTTATAATCATAAAAAAAATTATTATTCATAAAATTAATTTAAGAAAATAAATTTAAATCAATGTACACCACAACAATAAAGAAAACTATAACATTTAGGTCTAATATCAAATAGCAACATCAAAGTGAATATCAATAAAAATTAAACTTAGCTAATATTATCAGCTAAATCTTAATAAATAAATGAGGGATGGATGAATGCATTTAATATATTCATTTCTTTGTATGTATTTAATTTTTTATTTTTTATATTATAATTTTTAAAAAAAATAAAAGGGCCTAAAAGGCCAGGGCTGACCCTTTTATTTTGAGCCTAAAAGCAAAATAGAAGCCCGACCCTCAATTTTTCAGACCTAAAAGGGCCGGCCCTACGAGCTCGGCCCTAATTGACGGCTCTAGTTTTCACTGGTTTGTTGATATATTAGGTGGTCATCCCAGAATGTTATTTTTGTTTTGATCAATAAAGATAGGTAAGCAAATTAATCACTTATTTCCATTATTACTAATAATTTGTTTTTATTGGATACTACTAGGAGGACTTCAGATGTCAATTTTGTTGAAATGTGTAGTGATGTTGTTAAAGAAGAGGATATATCACCAATTTTTTGGTTTGTAAAAGTGGACCCTCTTCTCCTGCTTACTGTAATTCAAGCCCTATCTTTGCTTAATCTAGATTTGCATACTATGACATTCTTATTTAGTTTTTTAGATTCCTTTTGATGGATGAAGTTTTTTTAATTGAAGCTGTTTGACACTTCAACCAATGCAAGTGGAATATATGATTCAAAATATGCTTTGTTTGGATCAAAACACACTGACTTTCACTTCATTTGATCTTCTATTTTCAAGGTTTGATTTAGTCTCATTTTGGCTTACTCTTATTTGTGTGATTGCACAAATATGTTTAACTCATCAAAAAAGTTAGTAAATTTGTACTACTCCATCTTTATGGTTCACTTATCTTGACTTTTGAAGATCTTAGATATGCTTGCGCAGATCGCACAAATATTGATTTTGATGATATATGCTTATTTCATGACAGGAGCTTATTTACACATGCATGAGAGTGCTCATGTTGCAGCTTAGTCATATATTGATATCCATACCAAGTCGCATATATCATAATTCACATTTTTCTTGGTGAATCTTCAAGAAATCATTTCATATTTTATTGCTTATTATCTATGAGCTTTTTTCTTCACAAATCTATCCACGCATAAGCATGTTAATGAACAATTCTCACGTTCCACTGCCCATATCTATGAAGATATGTCTAGTTTGTAGTCTCTTCTTTATCTTTGAAGCTGAAAATCATATTTCTCAATTTTTTTATTCTCTTATTATATTGAGCGGCATGAAACTTTGTGAATCTACTTTTGGTCAAGTACTCATTATAGGTTATTGCATAGGATTGCCTGAATTGTTGAACAATTAGTGGCTCCAATAAGTCTAGGTGATTCTAATATTTGATCAACTTCTGTCTTCTGAAATTTTTATCTTGATACTGATGTCAACTTTTATGATTCAATATTTACTAAGAGAAACTATAGGACTTAATTCTTTAATAACAAATTTGAAGTTGCAAGGAAGCACTTTCACTCAACAAGAGGTTAGATTCTTGCTTATTTTGCCCTGTGAGATATGCTATTACTGAAAACTCCTATGCAAGTATTTTGTCTTTGATACAAACATCATAAATTTCTTTGCAGACATGTCTTTGCAAAAACAAGATTGCATAAATAGAACTCTTTTAATTTAATTTTCTTGTTCAGCACAATATTATACTTCTAGGTTCAGGGGTCGTGCTTGATTGTTGCACGTTACAGTTTGAAAAGGAAAAAGAAAATGATAGTCTTTGTTACTGGTTGCATTTTCAATGAGATCTGAAGCACTGTAAAATTGGGTACCTTGTCAGAAGTGTTCCAGATAATTTGAGTGATGCGATTCAAGTGAAACTTCAAAGAAATGATTCACATTGTTCTAATATATACGGCTAAAGTATATGCTTTGCAAACAATAAAAAATATTGATACATTTTTCATGGTTTTGATTTTTTTTTGATAGTAAATATAATAGTTTTATTATAAAAAATTAGTTGTATATTTATTATGGTGTTTCTTTAGTAAAAAAATTATGTATTTTTAGTTATAGCGATATAAGATATTAAATATATACATATATATATTTGGTGCTTGCTAATTTTTTTTTTTAAAAAGCAAGGGCGGGAGGTGGCATTCCTTCAAAGAAAGGCTACATTTACTCTCTTTTTATTTTTAATTAAAAAAACTATTAGAGGTAGTGTGTTACTGAAAGAATATCACCTCTTTCTTTTATTTTAAAAAAATAATTTAAGAGATGTTTTCTTGAATAAAAGTGCCAACATCTTGTAATGTTTCATTAAAAAATAATCCTAAAATTTTAGATAGCTTTGAAATTTGTATATTATAAACGTCACAAAATTAAAAATTTAAATGTCATCAAAGTCTTTTTCTCTGTAGTAATTCTCAATTAGCTAGGAGACACCAGATATTGTTTGGGTGACATTACAACCTTGAGCATATGTGGTAAGTCCGTTTCAAGCGTTGATATAAATCCACGTTGAGCGAAGCTCCTCGTCGACGTAACATCAACACTTATAACCAGAACATGTTTGATAATTGTCCTTAGGATAAAGAAAACGAGGCTCAGTGGAAATTAATCAAACTTACGTCGTATAGGTATTTTGACAGTTTGTTTTGTTTTACACTTACTCTAGGTAACCTCCTCTTAAGACGTTGATGTGTCGTGTCATGTGTATCACAAGAAAAGATAAATTTTAGAAGTTTACATAATTTTCTGTAGCTGCGGTCCAATGTATTGTTCCGCCATTTGCGTTGCTTAATCTTCTTTTGTTCTTAATTTTACCCACCAATTGAAATGGGACAAATAACTAGACTGTATACCTTTATGTTCAGGTAAGTTTTGGATTTTATTTTTCTTTTGGCCGTAAATTTAAAAATGAAATTTAACTTTAAATTTTATTAAAATTGAAATAAAACATATAAATATAAATTATTCAAAAAGAAAGACAAAGGTATACTTAGTCTTATATAATATATATACACACTCTTCTTCTATCAAATCAAAACAAATAAATTTAAAGTATTGACAATATTAATAATGGGAGCTTGTTATATAAGGAATAAATAATATATAAAATATTCAGATATTTTGATTTAATTAATTAGAAACAAATTAAGTATTTAAGTTTTGTCCTTATTTCAAATTAAATCTCAACAATATTATCTAGGTGATGAAACGGATTAATGATTCCAAATTTAAAAGAACTAAATCTACTATTAAACTACACACAAATATATGTATGCATGTATGTATTTGCCTAAATGCGTTATGTATGGATCTTTTACTACGGCTCAAAAATCAAAATCTACCACTTTTATTATAATGATCATATGAAGAAAGTATAAAGATTCTGTAGTCACTTCTTATTCATACTTATAAAAAAAAAAAGACGTACCACTTGCATCATCGGGGAAAAAGAAAACTAATGATGGGATAAGGCTAATTTCCCCAAAACGAAGAAGCTAATGCAAGAGACGAAAAAGTTTGGGTCAAAGAAAGGCGAAAGACAAAGAGACGAAAGAAGACAAAAAAAGAGGAAATAAAGCCAAGCCGGATTAGAGTAAAAAATAACGAAAGCACCCACCAAATGTAAATAAGCTGCCAGCAAAACCATGCAGAATCTGACAGAGAAGACTGATCACGGTTTCATTATTATTATCAGTATCACATTCACTGGTAACTACACTTGTTCTTCAACGAAATGCCTCTGTTCATCTTCTTCGGATCCATGTCCACCATACACTCCACCTTCTTGTAGAACTTGGGCTTCACCAGTTCCCCCAGCACCTTAGCCCTCCATCGAACCACGAACCTCAGTTTCAACGCTACACTCTCCGCCGGTGCACCCTTCACGCTGCTCAAGCTAGCTCCTCCGCCGTACAATGGGATCCCACTCCCTATCAGCGTCACTCTCATCGATCTCTGGCTTTTCCTCGACTGATAAAACTTCGCTATCTGCAAATCCAACTCAAACCTCACACCCAATCATTTAATAATCCTAAATTATTCTTTTAAAATTACAAAAGATGGGATTGCAAAGCACACGTACGGTGCCGGTGGCCAGAGTAAGCTGATAATAAGTGAGATCTAGAGGCGTAGAGGTCACGTGGACGCCGAAGAATGTAGCAGTGTTACGAAATGTGAGTTTCACTGAGGAATTCATGGACACCATGCTCGTCGGCACTCCTGACGCGTCCTCACCCGCTTGAATCACAAATTGATTGAACACTATACTCTGTCCAGCAAGAAAAATCAACAAGATTAATCAACGATCTCCAGAAATCAGAACCACAAGATTCAGGCTAGTTAGTTAATTTGGTACCTTCACTGAGATGGTTGGTTTCTGAGTTCGGCTGGCGCCCCATAGAATCAAAGAGAAGACGGAGAACAAGGCGATGAAACCAAGAACGAAAGCGAGGGAGTAGCATCGGCGACTGAGGCCGTTCTGGGAAGCGTCGTGAGGGTCGAGGAGGCCTTCTTCTTCGATGGCGTGGAACTGATCTTTCCAGGGCCTCCAAGTGCTTTTCCGGCGCGAGGCACTGGTCTTGCGGGAGCCGGAGAAGCGGGTGGAGGCAGACTCGCGGGAATGTGGGCCCAAGGAGGAGTTGGAGTGAGAGTGGGGCGGAGAGCCCAGTGGGCTCTGGAGCGGGCTTGAATGGAAAGAGTTGGTGGTCTTCTCGCCGTCCTGGGAAGAGTCGCGAGATGGGCTCTGAACGTAGTAAACGGGACGGCGAGGGGATGATCGGCCCGGCGACGACTGGCTCAGGCTGCTCACCTCAGAGTCGGTCTTGGCAAGCATTGACATTGTAAAAGAAAAGAGGAAGGTATGAAAATCTAGATTTGAGAAATGCTTAGATTGATGGGTGTGGAGAAGTCAAGATTAAGCGATATAGAATAAGAGAGCTACAGGGATTCTGATCTCTGAGTGTTTGTTTAGTGTTTACGAAGCATTAGTTTACGGGGGACGTAATTAATACGATACGCTGGCCGGAGCTTGTCCATTGTCAGAGATTGCATTATAATGTTATTTTGATCGTTTCTCTATCATGCAATAACAAAATAGGTCAACCAGAGAAGAAGAGAATCATTCATCATTTTTAACAACAATCTTTGGATTTACTGGCTCCACCGACGGGAATAAGTAATCTGGGCCCACATTTTTTACGTTATACTGCATGTCGTATGTACACTAAGTTACCATAGCTGTTTCAGGATATATCATTAATCATTTCTGCGAGGAAATATGCTGTCTCAGGACTCAATTTGTGAATATATTGGCAGCTTGAATGAATAAAAAGTTTGTGTCATGTGTGTGTCATAAATGATAAATCTATTTCTTCTCCGTACGTCATTGGATCTTTCGTTTTACGAGCCTTTGTAGAAGCGACAACATCTAACCATGAGCTAAAACAGTTCGAATCAAGTTTAACAAGCCAACTATAACAAGCTTAAAAAATAACAATATTTTTAATTTTTGAGTGTATTTTGGCAGGCATGAATAATATACTTTAAAATTTGAGCTTTCTGTATTTTTTTAAGTATCCTAAAAGGTGTATTTTATAATTTTTATAATAATAAAAATAGCTAATGTTAAAGTAAAAAAAATTGAAATTCACTTGAAAATAAAAAAAAATTGACAATTCGGATATTGAGGCATGCTTGAAGCTAGAAAATATTACAACTAAACTTGGCTATATAAACTTTTTATAAGTTTGAGTTTATTCGAGTTTGGCTAGAGTAAGTTTGACCTGTCTAAATTATCAACTCTACTAAACCGTAAATACTTAATCTTATGAGTGATTTTTTCTTCGTGGCATTATGTAATTTTGATGAGTGACTGTCTGCTTTTTATTAATGATTCTCTCTTCCCTTTCATCATTTGCTATATATATGTTATCTAGAGTACTCTAAAGATATATTACTATTTATTTTGCCATTATTGAGAGATATTATTTGATAAGATATTGTTATAAATAGTCATTATTAAGTTATTTTTTCCTCCTCATATATATTGTATTCATCACAATATTAATAGACATGGCATTTTTCAATCTTCTCTTGTCTCTCTCTTATCTCTAATAGCTTTCTTGGTATCAGAGTTATAGAATATTTTTTCGCAGGTAAAATATCAAAAAGTGACAGCCTTTTTTAGTATTTCTATCCTCCATCCTGAGTTCAGAGGGGCCACATTTAGGTTGATGTGCAGCCATATGTGAGAGAAGAAGAGAGAAAGTCATTTTCGCATCTTCACATAGCAGTCTCAATAAATTAAATTTTACAAATTCGTTAAACATTGGATCAAGATAAAATTTGGTCAGCATGTTCGTAACATCCAATCCGTCTTTTTTAACGGTTGGGTTATCGATTCATTACTCGATGTAGGAGTTATTCCGTCCACACTACAACCTTTATAGTATTTGAATTTTTTTATTTGTATCGGTTCTTTTTCTTAAAAATGGCAAAGTCAGAGGTTACTCAACCCATCTCAGTTCCTTTGAATGGTTACAATTACCACCTTTGGTTAGAAAAATGTGATCTTGCTCAACCTCCTTTGGGATCCTCCCCTGTTGTACTCGAGGCTTAGTTTACTTTGGGATCCTCTTCGGTTAAACTTGAAGCTTTGCTGTGCGCACTCATCTCCCATTCCTTTAGCCCATATGTTCCTTTTCTACTCCGATTGATAAATCCACTTGGTGTTTTGACTCTACTTGTTGCACTCATATGACAAGTTAGGAAAATTTCTTTTCCTCTATAACACCTAACTTTACTGGCTATCCTATACACATTGCTGATAATTCTTAAATGCTTGTTAGTTACATTGATACTATCTCCTTACCTTCCCTATCTATTCATGTTACATATTTTGCTCCTACTATTAGCTTTAACCTTCTCTCTGTTAGACAACTTGTTGATATGGGTTATGATGTATTATTTACCAAACATGGTTGTGTTGTGATGGATTGTCAAACAGGATAGGTTGTTAGGATTGGGTGCAAAGTTAGTTGTATGTTTGAGCTCACCTCAATGCACCTATCTGAGGTCACTTCTCCTACATTGTGTGCTACCTCCACATCCTCTTCTCCAAATTCCTCTCTTGACTTGAGGTCATCTTGCTCACCTTTCTTTGAGTAAATTATGACCTTTAATTTCTAGTAGTCATTTAGGTTATGTTCATAATCAGTCTTTACAATGCATTTCTTGTCAGATTACTAAATAACTTGCTTTACCTTTTCATAAAAATGATTCCATTATTGCTTCTCCATTTGATTTGATTTATTCTAATATTTAGAGTCTTGCACCTACTCCTTCTATGGGGGGATCCCGATACTTTGTGATTTTTGTTGATAACTTTTTTCATTTTACTTGGATTTATATAATGAAACATCGATATGGATTACCTGAACTTTATATTAAATTTTTTCCTATGATTCACACTTATTATTCTAAAGTCATCAATATTTTTCATTGTGATAATGCTTTAAAATATTGTGACTCTAAATTACTCAATTTTCTTGATTCTTAGGGTACTATTTCTCAGTATTCTTATCCCTACACTTCTCAACAGAATGGTCATGCTAAATGTAAACATTGTTATATTCTTGAATACATTAAAGCATTGCTCATTTTCTCTTCTTGCCCTGAACATTTTTTAGGTAAAGCAGCCTTAACCTTTATTTTTGCATCAATAGACTCCCGTCTCTTGTCATTGATAACATTTCTCCTTTGGAGCGTCTCCATAATTGTCCTCCTGATTATAGTATTTTGAAAGTCTTTGCTTATGCTTGTTTTGTTCTTCTTTTGTCTCATGAGATAAACAAACTTCAAGCTCATGCCTATGTCCATTGTTTCCTTAGTTATGATTTTGAGCATAAAGGCTATCGTTGTTAAGATCCTCTCTCTCATCATATTTGCATTTCCCAACATGTTCTCTTTTGAAAAAATATCAAGTTTTTATCTTTAACCAATCTCTCATTGTTTTCCTCTTCTTCACCTCCTATTTTTATAGATATTTCTATTGACTTTTTTACTAGTGACCCAGGTACAAACTCTTCTATTGAGCTCATTTCCACAACTGATACTGTGCTTGCCTCTAGATATGCCTATTGTCACACCTACTGATCCTCCAGCATAAGTCATGCCTAATGAGTTCATATCATCCATAGACTCTTGGGCCAATCGTGTAAGAAATCCTCCCTTATCTTAATGATTATCATTATTTTTCCACTATTCTCTAGTTTCAAGAACCCAAATCCTTTAAAGAAGCCTATTGTGATCCCTTCTGGTAGCAAGATATGGATGAGAAATTGCAGGCCCTAGAGAAAATGCATAGTTGGGATCTTGTTGATCTTCCTCTTGGTAAAACTTAGGTTGGGTGTTGATGATTCTACAAGAACAAGACTCATTTCGATGAATCTTTAAAGTAAGGTAATGTCCGCTTGGTAGCCCAAGGATTCACTCAGGAGTATAGTATCGATTATGAGGAGACTTTTACACTTGTTGCTCATATGACTTTTGTTTGCAGCCTTTTAGCTATTACAACTATTAAGCACTAGCCTCTTCATCAAATGGATGTTAAAAAAAATGCTTTTCTAAATGGAGATCTAGAAGAAATGTATATGAGGCCCTAACCCAGGTATCAATATCCATAAGACAAGGTTTGTTGTCTTCATCAAGCATTATATAGGCTCAAACAGGCTCTTCGTGCATTGTTTACTAAGTTTAGTAATATTATGAGTCAATTGGATTTGACTTGTAGTCCTCACGACTCGCCTCTTTTTGTTTGCTCCACTGCTCATAATATTATTCTATTACTATTGTATATTAATGACATGATTGTCACAAGTAGTAATGATACGGGAGTTTAAGAGCTTAAGACATACTTAGGCCGACAATTTAAAATCAAGGATTGTAATATCTTTCCTAACATTACCAAATACACGAAATAAGAAACACAAGACACCATTATGATAACCAAGATTAATTAAATTTCTTATATAAGGTTATCATAACAAGGGTTTAAAAAATTACTTTAAAAGATTAGGATCCCAAGAAACCCTTTCCAAAAAGATGTTTGAGCTCAACTATAGTTAAGAACAAGTTACACAAGATAGTCGAAGCATAGGAATTAATTAACACTACAAACAAACATTAAAAAGGGAATTTTAAATTGAAACATCCCAGTTTTAATCCCCTGATTAATTAAATATAATTAGAATAATTAAGTAAATTGAGGTGATGTATGGCCAGGGAGGTCTAATAATCATATTTGATTGTATTTTAGCCTATATTGTGGGTTTGGTATCAAGTTAGGCCAATTGGGCATCGAAAAGAGAAGAAAATAAAGAGTGATGTTGTTGTGCCATACACTGCTATGTGGAGGTCATCCACCATGTTGCATAGACATTTCATATGCAAGAGAGGACCTCTTTGTGCCATGCACCGTGGTGCATGATCATTTTTTACAATTTATTAGACGTGAACTTGAGACAAAAAAGAGAATATAAAGAAAAAAATGAAGAGGATGCACCAATGCTCTATTAGGGTTTACTATTGAATGACATTGGGAGTATTTTAGGAGTTATAAATACCTAAGGTAAGTACCACACTCATTAATCTTCTCATTTCTCCCACATTTATGAGTTTATGGTTAGGGTTTGATAGTAGAAGTGGATTTTTAGTCCATATAGGTCATATGTCTGAATTCATTGACTCAAATAGAGTTAATGAGAGTAGATTGGAGTATCTATCTAAGCTTAAGTATAATGAATTTTAGTGTCTTGTGTTGTTGGGCACCATTAATATCCAAAATTTTATTTAATATGAGTGGTTGGAAGAATGTGATGTCATTAATGGGAGTCTAATGGCTCATTAATATTATTAGGGGCTAAAGATAGATAATAAATTCAATGGATAGGCTCAAATTCATGTAGAGTAGATATTGGGTAATTTAGAAATAGAGAAATGAGGGTTTAATGCCTGGTA